GGTGTTGATTGCTATCAAATTCTCTCTTAGCAGAGATTTTGCTGTACCCCACACATTTTGGTATGTTGTGTTTCTATTTTCATTTGTTTCAAAAATGTTTTTGATTTCCTTCTCAATTTTTCATTGACCCAGTGGCCATTCAGGATAATGTTGTTTATAGTTTCCAAAGTTCCTTTTGATGTTGATTTTTGGTTTTATCTAATTAGAGTCTGAGAAAACATTTGATATAATTTTAATTTTTAAAAATTTTTTAGGACTTGTTTTCTGGCCTAACATATAGTCTTTCCTGGAGAATATTCCATGTGCTCATGAATACAATGTGTATTTTGCAGTTGTTTTATAAAATCCCTTTAATATTTTACACAATCACAGAACAGAGTTGAGAGGAACCTGAGAGAACCTGCCCTAAACCACATTTTACACAAGAGGAAACTGTTAGCAAGAAAACTATGTGATATGCCTTATAAAAACAGTGTTTCCTGTAGAACTTGGGTCTTTAATCTGCTGGTTGTTTCAGTACAGCAGCAGTTCTCAAAGTATGGTTAAGGGACTCTTCGGGATTCCAAGATCCCATGAGGAAACTGTGAGGTCACAATTATTTTCACAATGATAGTAAGACCCTATTTGCCTTGTCACTCTCATTCTAGCATGAGCATACAGTGAAAATTTCCAGAGGCTGCATGGCATGAACTCAAAAGAATGACTGCAGGCTGGGCGTGGTGGCTCAGGCTTGTCATCTCAGCACTTTGGGAGGCCGAGACGGGTAGATCACCTTAGGTCAGGAGATCGAGACCAGCCTGGCCAAAATGGTGAACCCCCATCTCTACTAAAAATACAAAAAATTGGCCGGATGTGGTGGTGGGCGCCTGTAATCCCAGCTACCTGGTAGGATGAGGCAGGAGAATTGCTTGAACCCGGGAGGCGGAGGTTGCAGTGAGCTGACATCATACCACTGCACTCCAGCCTGGGTGACAGAGCAGACTCTAACTCAAAAAAAAGAAAGAAAAGAAAAAAAAAGGTGAATGCAAAAGGAGATGTAAGACTCCAGTGGTTTTTCTCTTACACTAGACATGAAAGCTATTTGCAAAAATAAGAAATAGCATCAATTTTCTACAAAAAATGCTATTTATGTTAATATGTACTATGTTTATTATTATATTTTAAAATATGGTAATATTAATTAACATAACCTGTTTATATATATTACATTATATATATAATATATGCTTAATTGGAGTCTGAGAAAACATTTGATATAATGTTAATTTTAAAAAATTTGTTAAGACTTGTTTTATGGCCTAACATATAGTCTATACTGCAGAATATTCCATGTGCTCATGAAGACAATCTGTATTCTGCAGTTGAGTGATTTGTATATGCCCTAAACCACGTTTGTATATCTACTAGAACTACTAGGGATGTATACATTAAATATAATGTAATATATATATATATATATATATAAACAGATAATGTTAATAACCTGTTTTGGTGCTCTCAAGAATTCGTAGGTACTATCCCAACAAATAGACTGATGTCATTAAAAGAAGGAAACAAGGACAACACCAGCTACCATTTTTTTAAAATTAATGGTGTTATAAAAATGTATTCTGTGAATAAACACTGGAGACTCAAAAGGGTGGAGTAGGGTGAGTGATGAGAAATGACTTAATAGGTACAATATATACTCTTCCGGTGATGGCTACACTAAAAGTCCAGACTTCATCACCATGCACTATATTTATGTAACAAAACAGTACTTGGACCCCATAAATCTTACAAATAAAAAGAAATGTATTCTGTGGCACTCTCCTTCTTCTAAAAATAGCTTAGGCGGTTTTGGAATAATTTTTAACTTATTATATGTGATTGCAAGCTCCTTATGTGCCTTGGAATTCAGATTTCATGCTTCCACTTTCACAACTGACTTCATTTAACTTTCTGAAGCTTGTGCTAAATATATAAATGTTTAAGGATATGTGAAAATCATTGAAACTGCTAAATTAAAATGATTTTAAACTAGTTTTAAATTGTATCAACTTTACAAAAAATTTTTTTTCAGGGAGTTACATTCTTTTCTACTCATTGCTTATTTAGGTTTATCAAAGGGGAGGGGGAGAAATTCCCTTTCTACAACAAATGAAAAGGACACACAAAAACATTCTTCAGGTTCCCTACCAATGTGTATTTCCACTCAGTCCTGAATTCACTGATTTTTTACCTGTCCCCACTCCAATTTTTTTTAATGATCAGTTTAAAATCTTAATTCTGTAAACACAGCTACCGTCTTCTTAGAAAATGAGCTATTTCTGGGCAGATCTGGAAAGAGTTGGGGACAGGATTCATGAAAAGAGCTTTTGGGGCCTTTGTGAACAGGAGTTCTAGAACTAGGGGAGCTCCCATATTATTTCTTCAATAAAGGGTGTCAATGTAGTCTTCCAGTTATGTATGTCATAATTAGATGTATATAAAGGAGGAACAACCCATGTAGCTTTTAGAACAACAAAAAATCTGGAGAAAGATAGGGTGGAAGTGTCCTTCTGTCATGGTTGTTATGTTCTTATGCTGACCTGAAGCCACATTTTTGTGATTGATGAAGGTCCTGAGAAAGACTATTTCCTTCACTGAACTTGTCTATTATACTCAAAAGTCAGTTATATCTTTGGTCTCATTGGGCATGTTTTTACCCTATTTCCTCAGCAGTTAGTGCTGGGAAGACAAGAACTTTGTATTTTATACACTGTTCTGTAACATATAATATATGTAAACATGAAACAAAAGCAGAATCATTGTGATTTCATTTTCTCCCACAATAAAAGAACAGATTTAATCCTTTGCTTAATTTGCATCCTTTGCTCTTCCAATCCTGTTCAATAATTCATCAGAAGACAGTAACTTAGTGGTAAACAACATATTGTTTCCCCTTGTTGGTACTTAGCAAGCTTTAGCTTCAGCAATCTGTTCTCATGAAATGAATCCCATAATTCCTTTAATCATTTTAGTTCCTCTTCTCTGGATCCATTCAATTAGATTACAACTTTTTGGCAAGAGAAGTACTTGAGTTGAACAGTCTTTCCATATGTTGTCTCAGAAGATTGGTAAGGGAAAGGCTTGAATCTGTTAAATTCATGGCTCAATAACTACATTCATTTTGACTGAGAGAGCTTTCCGGATATAGTATGTATTAAACAAATGCTTGTGAATGAAGAGTGTTGAATATGGACTTATTGATTATTTATTATTTTTCTCATCTATTTGTTAAGCCCTTTACGGTTTCTCCTTTGGAAACATTTATTCTAAATAATGGTAATAGTTTTAAAATATGTATCAGGCTAATAACATGAATTGAGTTATATACCATATGTCCAACCAAGCTTTAGGACACTTTTTAGAAAAATGAGCATGATGGTATTGGTACATTGATATAAAATCAAGGGAAATTGATATAATTCAGGAAAGGATATTATAAGAAGCTCATGGATATACATTGAGGAGAAGAGATTGTCAAAATAAGATAAGGAAAAGAAGATGAAATGAATCAAATTGCATATTCAATAACAATAAAATTCCCAAGAGAAAATTTGGGTAAGCAGTACTATAAAGAAATGATTTTTAAAAACATGTCCCAATATGTAACTGAATATGTAACCCAGCTTGGCATTCTTTTCTTTGACATACGAAAGGGACATTTCAGAAATGAAAATAAAATTTTTCACAAAACATTTTTTTCCCATAGCTCAATGGCACCTATTTTGCATGGAGACAAGCACATGCAGGAAAAAGTTTTAAGAGTGGAAGCAAACATGGTCTCAGAAGAGGATTGACAAAAACTTAGGTAAGGCTCTGGTACAAGACATTGCGGGAATTAAACACCCTACTAGAGATCTGGGGAAAAGCAACAGAAGCAAGTCGAATACCAAGAGAGGAGATAGAATGCCTTTTCTTGGGGAGGTTCAAGAGTCCAAAATAGCCATATTCAGGATGCAGTTCCAGGTTGGCATCAGCCTCAGAACTAGGTCCAAATCCAAAATCTGGTTGTAGATCAGGCTACACAGAGCAGAAGCTTTGGAGTCAGTCATGGAACCAGTACCAATGGAATGAAAATAGGAATAGTTAATCACTGTCTTTAGAAAATGGGGCTTTTGAAATGGGCCAAGAGAGTCAGGCAGCAATCACTGGTTGTAGTATTGGCTTGGCCTTCCTCAGGCCCAGAAGACCTGGACAGAAGTATTAGCCATGAAGACTCTACACTTTCACACGGAAAATGCGTAGAGAGAATTTGGTTTGGTTCAGAAGAAACTCCATAGCCTCCATCATCAACTATACTTGAAGTTGAGTTGATGGCAGAAGAAGTGTAATTTCAAACTCCCTTTACTAGTGAAGAGAAAGCATTCCCTATTTCCTCTACTGAGTTAGGATTATTTATGGGACCCTATGGGACAGCCTGTAGATAATTCCATGTTCATTGTGGACAGCAGGGATGGTCTGGGATTTGTCAGAGACTGACATTTGGAGAACTGGAAAGGCCAAGAAAGATACTTCCGTTTTAAAATGAAGGTCCAGAATTAATTTGGAGGCCAGAGGGATCCAAAAAAGAAAATAAAAATGAGAATCACAAATGAGTGGATCTTTGCCATTGGTAAAAATCTGGGTCACTTACGGCTGTATTTTTCCATTTGTGCTTTTGTCTGTGGGCTTTGACAGCATAGTTGTCTAATCATCTGACTCTGACAATAGATATCATTCTAGTGTGTTTCATCATCTGAATCTGACAATAGGTATCATTCCAGAATACAATTGTTATATAACAAAAATTCGGTATGTTGGAGAAAAAAGTCAATCAACACAATTTTAAGCTTTGTATGTCTTTTGTTTGCAGGGAGTCAGGCATAAACAAGCATTTGTCATTCGATTCTTCTAGTGCATTTCCAGCATACTGTGCCTTAGGCATGACACATCAGAGTCTGATGTTTATCTTTTACTACCTGCCAGACCCCTCTGGAAAAGCCTCCATGGCATTCATCATCTGCAGTCTTTGTTGTAGGTATATATATAAATAGATGTTGAATGCATTTGTTGAGGATATTGTGGTTTCCAAACCTGAACTTAAATAAAAAGTGTTGAGATGAATAATGAAGAGGACCTTCTGCAGGAGGTATGAAGCTAATCATTAAAATGTTTTTTCCAAAAATATTAACAGCAAATCTTTTTAAAAAAATGTCAATTATTTGAGTGCTGGTAAGAATAAAGGCAGCATAATTAAACTTGTTACATGCCCACTTTGGAGAAGTTTATGAAGAATTGTTCTCTACTATACAGTGAGTTTATAAAGATAATAAAAGCTAAATAATTAAAAAATGTTCATCTAGGAAAGCTCATTTGGTTTGAATAATCATTTAAATTCAATAGGCACTGAGATTTAGAAGCATAAGTATGTTATAAAAATTTTTATTTCTATTTTGGTTGCTGGTGAGAGAATAATCTTTGTTTTTCTCAAGGCTTTGGCCTCATTCCAATAAATATGCTTTGAGATTAAATGACTAAAGGTGGAAACCTGTTTTCAAATTATATTTGAAATGCACAGCATGAATAGTGGTAGCCACTCATTGGGTCTAGCATACATTAAAATAATCAGTTGTCAACATATAGCATTTCTCATCACTTCTTAATGTGTGTGTATCCAACCTTTATTCTTGTATTTCTGAATGACTCTTTCAAAGATACTCTTGTATTTTTGAAAGACTGAAGTGCAGACTTGGAGGCAAGCTGTGATAAAATTTGGGAGGAGGTGGGTTATCTTTAGTAGGTTAAGAAAATACAATGCAAGAACCCATACCTACTATGTGAAGAATGCAGTGGAAGACCAGTGCATTTTGTATGAGACAGTGGCATATAGAGAACAAACCTGGTCCTTACTTATGCATGTAGTGGAGATGATAGCTAAAATCTAAGGACGGGTTCACTGATCTATATAGTGAATACAAGCAGTTGTTTTGAAATGGAGACAAGAATAAATGTACTTTCCATAAGGAAACTGGGCAAGGCTACGTGAAGAAGGGACTCCTTGAGGAGGAGTTGTGGTTTATTCTGTACTGTCATGTCACTGTTGTAGGCATCAAATGGTGGACATGTTAATGTCATTACAAATAATTTAGCTAAAAGTAAGTTCACAGCTGCAAATGAAGGCTTATAGAAAGAAAGTAAAGGTGATTAGTATGTACATCATTAGCTTTTTGGGATTTTGATTTCAACTATGTAACTTCTTCTTGGACTAGGTTTTACTTACTACTCTTGACCCTATGGCAGAACTCTGCTTTTTTCCCCCAGCTCCCACAGTTTTAGCCCAGAATTACAGGTGATACAGCTTCTGCTAAAGTCCTTAAAAGTCATACTCTCCTTGAGACCAGTCTAGACCAAATATTGATTGTTTACTCTCAGAAGAACAGAAAAATGAACAATATGATTTTTAAACTACACAATTCTCACAGCAAGAGACATTCTCTGTCTTTTCAGGAACAGTTCCTTCAGAGTTGGAATAAAGCATTGTATTTAACAGATGTTCTAGAACTGAATCTTGGCGGGCCACTTGCCCCAACTCCACTGAATAAGCTTTTTTATACTCTCCTATAAAGGGCCACATTCTTAGCAAGAGAAAGAATATGGAAGGAGGGAGAGAGATGGCATGTGACATTCCTTTTCCAGCTAACTGATGTCTGAAAAAGGAAAAGATTGTGTTCCATACTAGATGCTCTGCTAACGTGAGCAAGAGCAGCGTGAAGTTAACTGCAAAACATAGCAATTGAACAAAAGCTCAATGGATTCAGAAGGGCAGATTGTGTGTATAGAGAAAATCCCTCAGAATAATTACTTTCCCAGCCTGAACAAATTTGTCAGAATCTTCAGTAAAATTAACAGTTATTAATCTTAGATTTGGTACTTCCCTGAATAATATTTTACTGAGATTCTCTATTTAAAACAATGCTGTAAAGTCATGCAATCTGCCAAATTCTTAGTAGTGGCAAACAAAAAATCGATGGAAAACACATTCTTATTTTTTAAAGTAGATCCTATGGTTGTATGAAGTTATGAAATTAAGTGAAAGAGTAGCATATCGTAACAATTGAAATCTGTTTATCAAGAACCTTGTGTGTGGTGTTGAGCTGGGTAATATGTCAAGTGAGTGAGTAAGATCTGTTGTCTGCGCTACAGATATTTATAACTCAGCACAGAGAACCCTGACACAGGTAGACACAGTTCTGACATTTCCAAGTCACATAAGGAGTGCACTCCATCTGGGGCGAAGTCAGATTCATCCTGCTCTGCAGCTGTATCTGTTGGGGTCATAAAGTGCAGCCCCATGGGAGGAGGCTCTGCCTGACCTTCTAGAGGGTTGCTTCAAGAGCCTAGAGAGTTACCTACCCCAGCTTTCCCTGCTTTATGCTATTGTCTGTGTGACTCTAGGGACTGCCTGATTCTTCTTTTATATTTTCCATGTGTTGTGTCTCTTGGAATTCAGATTTGTTTTCTGAAGATTTCAAGGTTTATAGTTCATTTTATAATTATTTTTATTTTAAAATTATTTTTATTTACCTCAAACCTACCTACTCCCAGTGTATCAAATAGCCCTCCATTTAAGAAATCTCAATGGAGAGACAAGACAAAAATTCAATTTGAGTTTCAAGTGCAGTGGGTTAAGCTCGCATTCTCTGAAATCAGAATGCCTGTGTTTTAATCTTGGCTTTGCTACTTACTAGCTGTGTGACATAGGGCAAATTATTGGACTTCTCTGTACCTCACTGGGACATTAATAGTGCCCGCAGGAAGAGATTTTATGGAGATTAAATGTGTTAATACAAGTAAAGTGCTTAGAATTGTGCTTATAACATAGCGAGCACTCATTAAAAAGGAGTCATTCATTACCTATACTTTATTATGTTATGCTGACCCTGAAGAGCTCTCCTGTTTTCCTTTTTATAGTCTTAAAGAGTTTTACATGTTTTCCTTTACATGATAGAATTTATTTGCCTATGATAGTAATGGTAACAATTATATATAATGTACCTTTTCACATAAACATATATCCATCCACTTCTAGCCTATTAAGCCTTTCCTAAGCATGATGACTGGAACTATTTTTAACACTCTAGTTACAGGCATACTATAAATTCTTTTAAAGGATAGAACACCTTCCCCTATCATATTTAAAGTATTTTTATATTCATATTTGCAGTATTTTTATATGCTGCAGCAGCCTATTAGCTGATATCTTCACTAACGGTTCCATAACATTCTTGGATCCTTTTTCACACTATATTACAGAGCCCATTATCATAAATATGTATTATATATACATGAATATTTAAATTTTTCTACATGTATTTCTTACCTTTGAAACATTTTCTGCTTACCCATAGCCTTCACAAATTATTTTTGTTCTGTCTACATGGATAAATTTATTTTTATCCATACAATCTTAATTTCTATAAAAAAACCAGAGGAATCTTTTTGGATTTACTTATGAAAATACTAAATAAAACAAAACTTTTTGCTTCCTTTATTATATTAATTTTCCTTATTATTTAGCTGCATATTATCAAAATCACATGGCGTTAGACCTTTGTAAAATTACTTTTTTCCTTCTCTGAAAATGTTTGGTTAGGTATACTTTTCTTGTGTAGAACTTTCTATTGTAGATTTTGCATAACTTGCCCATAGAGTGAGATTTGTTTATAGGTTAGTGCTACTGTTGACTGTTTGTCATTCTGTTGGAAATAAAAACGAGACTCATAGCTTTTCATATGGGAGCAACTACATCATTTACATTCTAATACTTTTTTCACACAGAGGCTCTCAATAATGATCATTGTTCCATCATTCTTTGTCACGTGTGAATGTTCTACCTAATCTGCCACCTTAGATCTAGGTTATTTTCTTGTAAATGTGGTGAGAATTAAAAAGTTAGAAAGTGAAAATTTGATGGCAGAAGTAGAAATTAACCAGGTTGCAACATTTGGCTACTAATCTCCCTACAAATATGCTTGGAGATAAGAAACTCAACACTTTGACAAATAGTCTACCTCATTTTGGGTCCATTTTATTAAGTAAAATTCTGATTCCTTGCAAATTCCAAGAAATTTATCTGGATTTTCCTTCTGTGCTTTGTTTTACTTCAAAAGATGAAGATACTACGGAACTCTCACTCGAGAGTTTGTTTTAAAGACTTCGATTTCCTTAGTTTTCAGTATTTTGTCACCTATAAAGTTTTTAAGTAGCATGAAGAAATGAAGTGAGAGTTGCAAACCACACATATTTGAATTCTGTTCTAGGTATGAAGCCAGGCACGTTGCTGCATTTGTCAAAGCCTCGGTTGCCTCATTAAAATATATATATTTATAAATATATAGATATATGCAAATATATCTATATATTTATATAGATATATGGAGTGAAAGCATGCATACACACACACACACACACACACACACACACACAGGGAACTTTTTAGCTATGCTTCAGAAAAGTATGAGAAATAATGTTTTCTCAGTATCTTAAAAGGGGTAATCATAACCCTGGGGAAAAGGCATAATATTGAGGATAACCACAGTGAAAAAACCCTAAGAAAAGGTAAAATTTACAGAATAAAGCTTCAGAGGCATTGTAGAGCAGCCTTTCACCAGTAGAAGTCCATCTAAGAGAATAAGCACAAGTCTAAGCCCTTCTAGAGAAAACTTTGAGGAAGTCCATGCCATAGTTTATCTGGGAAAGCTGTTTTGACGGAATCGTCCTACTGTGTTACCACCAGGTCCTGTTGACACCCAAAGAAGTCTCATTTAGAATCTTTTATAAAGAAGTCTGAGTCAAATGTCCCTTCTGGCCATATACTTCAAATTGGTAGGTCTTTGTTGTTATTAATTAATTAGAAATTATTTACTCAATTACTACTTAATGTTAGGCAATATATTAGGCATAAGGATACATCTAAATGTCACCTTCTAAGAATGTTCAGTCCTTGCATGTTCTTCCTGTCCGCCTTTCCTGACTTTACTTCCTATCCCATCTGTCTTGGATTCCATATCCCATTATTTTAGTGTCTTCCTTGCCCAAATCCTCAACTTATTTTTGTCATTGTCCTGAGTTTGTGACCTCATGAAACCT